TACATGGTTTTGACCCACTGCCATATCAAAATGAAGTGCAATCATGTCAGTCCTCCAGTGTGGCGGTCCGAAAATGTGGTGCAAAAAATGGACGTGTGTTGCTTGTTAGAACATGGCTGAACTCGGCAAATTGCATGATACTGGTGATTAATAGCTTCTACCGGCATGGAGTGTGCAGTGTGGGTATGACATGGTATGGCTACCTAGACATACAATGACATACATTTATGTTGTTAAATTAACCTATGTAGATGGAGAAACACATGAAAAAATAAAGACTACAAAACAATATCAACACAAAATCTACCTGTAAAGTGGTATAAACCTTTGGGAAATTTGTTTTGTTTGGATGGTAGCCCTGTGCGGGGAACCTCAAATCCATTGACCCAGCCCTTCTTCCACCTCTCAGGCGTTGAACTGCGGCGGATTTTCTTCAATCACCTAGTCCAAATGGCAGGTGTTTAAAGGGGTTCCTGCAGCTATGGCCCTTTACCAATTACTCATAACTATTTATAACTTGTAACCCCATTTATAGAGTGTATAACCCCATTTATAACCAGTTATAACTTTATAACTCATAAACGGCCAGAACTGTGAGAATGCTTGATATTGCGTTGGTATTTTCATTCTTTAAAATAATGTCTTTTGTTTTTTTGGAAGGTAAGCCATTATGTATACAGAGACCCATGCGTAATGTTTGTTTGAGCAGCCCCACCAATGGGGACCCGTCCCTCAAACTCGCATTATAACCGAGCAGGAAGCCGGGCCCCTTTCGGGCATCGCAGCTGAAACAAGAGTGGCCAATATGAAAACCGAAACACTAGTAAGTAATTAATTGATATCTACATGATGCTTTGAAGTCATTTTGTTTAAATCAATGTTTGGCAATCTAGGTCCTTATATTTTTTAAACATTGATTTGGCCCACTGCGCTCTGGCTACAGTCTCGTGCGCATTTTGTTGACGGCTTTGTTAGATCGAGGAAAACCGCGGAAACACATACCCTCCGTTGGCGAACCCTGGAGCCATCACACCTCTAATACCATATTATAATAATTCGGGCACTTCCTTGGTTTCACGCGCAAATTCACATGCTCGTGGACTGTGGCTGTGATCTAATAGTTCGCTTCGCAGCTGCGTGACGTGTGGTTGACACATGATGATGTGAAAACTGATCATGACCTCATTTGTCCGGAACTCAGAAATTTGTTTACGAAGCTTCCATTTAACAAAAAATGGTAGTAACAAAAACAATCAAAACAAACAACATTGTTTGTGGGCATTTGCTGTTTAATATTCTACATTTATCATCATGATCATGAACATGATCGATCATCATGATCATGATCATGATCATCATCCTCCTCCTCCTCCTCATCATCATCATCCTCATCCGTCCCTTTCTGTGCGACCGCCCGTCACGCAGAGATTGCGCGCCTTTTTCTTGTTCTCAGTCAGGGGCCCATCCTGAGCGCCAGCTCTCCAGCCGAGAATGGGAATACGATGGTGACATTGCGATGTATAAAAAACATATTAAAACATGGATATGGGGGTCTCACCATCATCAGGGATTCCTTTCAATCTAAATGTTCAGAAAAATTGGTATATTAACACTTATTAATTGGGGGACGATCATCTCCACTTATCGGAATTTAAACCATGTTTTGACCATGGCACTTATCGGTTGTGTCTGCAGATTTCGGGGGAGACCCTGCAGATACACCCACACCATCCCAATCATCTGGCAAAACCTTTGAATTCTAACTTCTAACCCTGACAATTTGTGTTAACATGGTTTCTGTACCCATGACAATCACTATCCATTGGGAAACTAATAGGAGCTCCCTGGCTCTCAAAAAACAGGACTTTCGATACCCCATTTTGGCTCCGCTCCGGCGTAACCAATGATGATTCCCTGGGAATTCGCCCTCGGGGATTGCGGTGGTTCCAATGGCAATCGAACCTTCTTCCACCTGCTGACTTCTGCTTCTCTTATGAAAAAGACACCCGGCAAAAAACAAATGTTGAGTATGATTGTTGATGTGTAATATCGTCCTTCGAAACGGCAAAAAACAACAAGATTCAAAACATCTCAAAACCGGTGTAACAAACCAACCACAAGTTGTCCACTGAAAGCAACATTTGGAATTCAAACTGGTCCTCGCATTGTTTGAGAGCAATTCACTGACTTTGAAACATAAACATGAAGCACGGAGTTCTATTATGTTCTATTATCTTGTTTTTTTTATTGTCTATTCTGGGGCATCGTAATTATAAGCCATAAGCGGACGCAATTCAGGAGCAAGTACTTCTTTGTGTGTTTATACCTACCTACCTACCAAACTATCTATCTATCTGGCTACTTGTTTTTGATCTGTGTTGTCTTTTTTATCTGTTTTAACTGTTTTATTTGTTTTAACTGTTTTATCTGTGTTATATGTTTTATTTGTTTTATCTTATCTTATTTATCTTATCTATCTATCTAATCCTATCTATCTAAT